GATGGGTTATAAATAAAATGGGATGAACATTTTTTTTTATATATGATTGTACAATTTGGAGTGTTTTAAAAAATTGAATTATCTGAGTTATTTTTAGGATTGGGACTGAGTGTGGAGTCCAGGTTGTATGATATCCTGTGCTCAGCTCGTTCTTGGTTGTACAATAAACCAGACAGTGTTTGACTGTTAACATAGCTCTTCTCTTGCCATCAGGAATTTGTGCGTGATTTTGGAGTGTCCAATTCGAAGTCTGTTGAGTACTGTATCTTCTTTTCGGTTAAGCTATGGATTTGCCCAACGATAGGTATCTCTTTTGATTTCATTTAGTTTGGTATTTTGAGTATTCCAGATACTTAACCATTTTTTTTTTTTTATGCGTTTATGAGATTTTTTGTGTTGTCGTAAGACATTTGGTTTATTAAAACGGTTTCGTTATCGTTAACGGCTAATGAGGCTTGTTCCTCGACAGTTTCGTTTCCTAGTATACCCGGATGTCCGGGGATTCACATGATGATGATACGTATATCCAAAATTGAAGTTTTATTGAGCGCATTCTGAATTTTAGAAGCAATGTCCTCAGGGTTGAAACGGTTTAGTATACTTTTTACCGTACTCAGTGAATCACTGAGGATTATGAACTTAGTATGAGCTTCATGTATTATAATCTCGATTGCCTAGAGGATAGCTAATGCTTTGGCTRTGAATATGGAGCAAATATTTGGTAATTCACGTGATATATACTTATTTATGAAAATTATCGAGAATTCGACACCTTCCTGAGATTTTGATCCAACATGTATACTTCTTGAAAGTCTTTGTAGTTATCAARTATGCTTTTAAAGAAGTTTTTGAAAATAATGGGAAGGGTTTGATGCTTACAAAGATAGCTAAGTTCAATGTTAATTGGGTACGAGCAAGCTCACGAAGATTGAGCGTTATTTTTCTTTAGTAATGATTTGCGATAAATCAAGGTTGATATCTTTCAACTCTTCTGTAATAAGGTGATTGTTTATTTCGTGAATGGTGTTATTTGATTTAGCGGATCTTGCTACGTATTTGAGATGTAAGTATGATCTTTTTCAGGAATGGTTTCACCGATATTATAGATACTGTATACTGGGCTACTCCGAAAGACACCTAGTGTCAGTCTCAGACCACAGTTATTAACAATGTAAAGCCATTTAAGTAGGTATTCGAATGCAGATCTGTACAGTGATGAGCCGTAGTTGAGTTTGGACTGTATTAATGATTTGTAAATCTTAATTAATGTGTTTGTTTCYCCACCCCATGAGAAAGAATTTTCAAAATAATGACTCCAAGCATTTTTACGACATTTTTGTGTAAGACTTCAGTAGGTACTATCTATGATTATTTTCAGAACAACAACATTCCTTTTTTTGTGAACAAGGCACAGCTGGATTTTTCTGGAGAGAAATGAAACCCGGTATTTTTTGCCCAGTTCTATAAATTAGTTGCTACTAATTGTAGCATGCATTGTATTGTGTTTATACAATTACTTCTGTACCAGAAGTTGAAATCATCCGCATATAGGTTGAATTCAACGGGAAGCACACAATTTTCAGAAATGACATTTATGGCAACCAGGAAAACAGTCACTGAAAGAGACGAACCTTGCGGAACTCTGTTTTCTTGAATGAATTCTTCAGAAAGGAAATTATTTGCTCTTACACGAAATGTCCGGTTTTCTAAAAAATATGCAATTAAGTTCAGAACATTTCTTTTTCCTACAATTTTATTAAGTTTTACTAGAAGAAGTTACGTCTACAGTTTGAGTCGTAAGCTTCGGCGATATCAATATTTATTATGTCCATCATTTGATTGTTGTTAAATGTTTGTGTTATTTCTTCTTCAATTTGAATCAAATTGTCAATATTATGCATCGGTTTTTTATAAATCCGTTTTGGTGTGGTAAAAGAAGGACATTTTTTTCTAATAGCCGGTTAAGTCTGTGGCTTATAATTTTTTCAAGAAATTTACACATTATATTGGGTAAGGTAATAGGCCTGTAGCCTTCTAGGTGATATTTTTTCGGAGATTTAGTGTTGGCAATGGTTTCGGCAAAGGTTTTTAATTGAGATGTATATTGTATATTTTGTTCTTAGAAATTCATGATTGATACAATTGGCTTAGTAATATTTATCGATTAATTCCGCTGGGATGCACGGGAGGCTTAATTAAGTAATATTGCGGGTCAAGATAAGGAGTTACATACCTGCCCAATGGTTAATGTTATGAGTTATGAATTTATGATGATATAAATTATATACTGCTATCGGAAGCTAATAAATACGTAACACGCATGTGCCTTGGACGGAGATCRAACACGTACTGTGTGATACGTACATTTAATTACTATTATAATACTTATATAAAAATATTTATATATATAATATGTGTGTGTAACGTTTCATAGCAAAAATCCATTTTTACCCGGAAGTGCTAGCTTATACCTTAATAGGATTTTGTTGGTATTCTCAACATTATATAGCATGCAGGATTAATAATTGTAAATATTATAATAGGCATTTGTCTTTGTCGTTAAGATTGTAAAACATATTTAGTCGTTATTGTATAAATTAAGTTTTTTTCATTATCTACAAATTTTATTTTTATAATATATTTATTGCGTATTTCGTATTTGTCTTATTCTAAAACTGTTAATTTTTTAGTCACAAAATCAAATTTATATATTTTGCTATATATACATCGCAACATTTCGTTTTAATAAACAAAATACATCACTTGCTAGTTATTGAGGTTTAACTTGTTAAAAATAAATACTGACATTGATCGTGATTGTTATAACTATAGTCGTTCTCACACCTATACCTACATAG